CTGCAGCAGCGTTGACATCAGCCTTCTCTTGAAGCAGCAGCTCGACTACTGTGAGATGACCTCCACCTGCTGCAGCTTGTAGCGCAGTTCTTCCCCCATCTCCTGCCGCAGCGTTGACATCAGCCTTTTCTTGAAGCAGCCGCCTGATGACATCGTCATGCCCCAAGTAACAGACCCTCACTAGGGCTTGATTGAGCTCATCTTTTGACGGTCTCATCCGACGGTCTTCTCCTTCTCGTTGCACAAGTAGAGTCTCTAGCTGCTCAAGATTGGCTGTAGAACAGGCGGTATCGAACGTCATAGTCCCCCCTTCTCGCCAGAAGCGTTCCCAGTAGCTGGATTCCCCGATCGTTGCGATGTTCTTCCATACCTGATATATGGCTGTATGGCCATTCCGTACAGACCAGATAAACATCCCCCAATAGGGCAAAGATCCTTTGTCTTCTAAAGAGCTCCAAGGCATCCACTCCTTTGGTAAGTGTGTTCCACATACGAAATTCTGTAGACGTGAAAAGCGTTGCACATCCAGCTGCGGATCTATGTAATGGCTATGAATGTGCCAGTGCGTCTTACAATATTCCAGAATCCGGAAGTTCGGGTTCATGTTCATTGACTGATGGGAGCTTAGTTCAGTCCTAAGGACGTTGATAACGTCAACAGATTGATTTGTTGTTTTGGATCGGCGGCGGCTGACAGCTTTGGATACCCACGGTCGAATCAAACCTGGCGTCATGCCACCTATCAATCGTGTAGGATGATTCATGATTCGGAGGTTTCTTGTGTCAGAGGTCCGAACAAGCGCTTTTTGAAAATCTGTGAACGACAGATATGTAAGGCAGACATCTGATAAGTACTGCTCACTCTCGACTTCGTCAATTGAAAAGGCTTTGAGGTTTCCTCCGCCAGGCTCGCTTCGGAAGAACGACTCGACAGAGTGGTGAGCTAGCACTACTTGCTTCGTAGCCTCGTCGTGATCAATTAGGTTTGCGCACATTCTGCTAAGTCTCGATGCATCTAGTGCAAAAGAGGGAGCAGTCCATGACTTCTGTTCTGCGGTGATGGATACCGCCTCTTGCAGCTCTTCGATCGCTAGTGGTCGTCTACCGTAGATCGCCCACTGGAACGCCTTCTTCGCCCTTTCAGCCTGATGACTGGATCCCTCTGTAACCCTGTGCAACAGGAGGCTGTACAACTCTGTGATTCCTTGTGGAAGTGTCTCGAGAAGATCAGGAATCCTGTCTGGGGTTCCATCCTCTTCACAGGCATCTAAGATAGCCTTGATATGTAGGTCAACCCAAAGGAACCTGGTGCGAAAATCAGCACAGGCACGCAGATACATGATTCGAAGGTGAGAAGATTGTAACGTACATTCCTTCCGCGTCAGAAACTAACTTTCGCTTGACCAAGTCAAGCGCAGAGGATGAACAGCCAAGGAGGTCGCTTTGCAAGTACGTATCAATCTGCAGTTGAACATACGTTGTGATGTCATGCCTAAGGTCATCTGGCTTGATCTGAAGACGTGAACACCGAGTGAGCACCTTCGTCATGTCCATGGCAGCATGTGTCATAGCAAGGATACGAACACTTTCTTTCTTCTGTATCGTCTTGAGTACAGATTTGACGTTCCTTCGCTCCGTCTCGCTGACTTCGTCAAGACCGTCAATGAGGAGAAAAGCAGATTCGTATTTCGCGATGAAGTGACAGACCAACCTCTCTAGTTCATCGATAGCGGGCCCTGGATTGCCTATCCGCTCTTCAAAAAGAGACTCTAAACTCCTTTGCGACTCGGGAAGAAGGTTGTCGACTGTGATAACCTGATGCAAGACGCACCGCAGGAAGGCAGATACCTGCAGTGACTTCTTCTTGGAGTAGTCGAAGAAGTAGTAGATGATGACCGTACTACTGTGAGCTGCGAAGCTTCGACTGAGATGGTTGATGGCGTGTCCCCTAGCGGTTTACTTAGCACATACGGTTTTGTGGAATGTGTAGTGACGAGGGGACTTCGTACATTAAGACCGATTTTCCACAACCAGCTGTGCATCGTAGAAGTCAGTAAAGCGTGCAAACATCCAGTAAATTACTCTAACCGATGACAACGTACGGATACCGTAACACCACAGGTGCTTTGCGCCTCTCCGATCAACCCATTCCCGGAATTCTGGCCGTTGGAGAAGCCAATCACACGTCCCTTCGCAACGCAATCCTCTTGCTCGACGAAGGCTAAGAGCGTAGTCATGGCTCGGAATAAGTTGCAGCAATCGAATCTTTTGACGTTCTGTGATAGTTCTTTGTTAGTTTCGTTCGAGCAGGTATGACTTCGGTAGCATGCAAGGTACCTTCTTCTTTGACGATTTTTTGGATCTGCCGAGCTCTGGTTTGTTGCAATGCATGCCTCTGTTGTGATCGAAAATTCCGGCTTGCTTCAATCTCGGCTCTCTGCTCTATACGGAAAGAGTTGTTCTCCTCTACTGCCGCAGTCAGATAGCCACGAAATTCATGTGCCTCTTGTTCTGACGCCAGCGCCAACTCTTCGGCGACTTCATCCTTTGCTTCACTGATGCTCTCCTCTATTTCTTTGAACTCGACCTTGAATGATTTCCAGATCGACTTGGAAAAGCGCTTGGCGCCTGTCGATGTAAGACGTTAATTGGAATGTCTCGTGTAACCAAAGTACAGACTTGGTATCTTACCTCTCTCCTGTATCACATGAAGCGCCTTGGAACAGAAGCTAACCACAACAGCATAAAAGTCAGAAAGTGCTTGTTGTAGCCTGATGGATGTTGGGAAAAGTTTGTCGTATTCTGAGAATCGAGGGCAGTAATTACTGAGCTGAGCAATTCGTTCTGATAGCTTTTCAAAGTACTCTGAAAAGTTTGACGAGGTCTGCGTAGTGGCATATTGTAAGTGGGAATAACGAAGCGTTGAGGTGGAGTACGAACCAGAATTACAAGCTTGATGCTGCCCCAAACTAGCGCCGCTATCTGGTTAGGTCCCACGCATGTGTCGATTATGTTGCAATACTGTTGGATGGAGCCAAGGAGTCCTTGAAGCCGTGAGGCGAAGATGTGGGTCTTGCGACTTGCGTTGGCCTGGATGACTTGGTCTGTTAGCGAGACAACATCATTTGGTGTAGGCGCATGATTCGAGTATGACTTGAGCTGAGCAGTCTGATCTGGCGTGAGGGTTTGTTGAAACTCGTCGAGAGCTATGGCTAGCCGGTAGTTACTCCTTCGCTCAGGTTAGCTGAATCTCTCGAAAGAGTTTAGTGGCACAGGCTGACATGTTACCACGGCTATCTCCGTCTGCTACAACGCCGCTATGGTTATTGGAGCGGGTGCTCGTATCAGTGAGGTCGTCTTCGCACGTCCAGAAATGTTCTACTATTGAAGAGGTGTGCTACAGTCGTATTGCTATGTCGAGGGCGTCAAGAAGTTGCGAATGTGGGGTAAGCCTGCTCAAAGATAACCAGGCGGGGAGGCTGAGTAACTTGGCAAAGTTCAGCTCACCACGTGCTTACCCAGCCAGATCTGAGCCCGGGCGGTACAGTTTGCACGAATTTGAACGCGTTCAACGAGCAAGCGAGCGGTCTCATCGAAGATCGTGCAAATCAGAAACGCAAATATCTAAGTCTGATCATATATCAAGCTTACATGTACTATAGGAATTGCAAGGCCACCTAAGTATGCCACGGAAAGCTGACATGCTCTCACAAGTGTATGCTCCCCTCAAGTTGCTGCAGCGTAGATCAGCATACTTGGTTGCGTCCAATAATGTCAAGCCCAGCATCATGCGATGATGGTCGGAGATCGGAGTGGATGACTCGATATAAAATGTTGATGGATAGTGATTAGCTGGACTAAATCAGGACTGCGGTCGAATCCCTGATCATCCGCGCCACCAGCGCTTACGACAAGCTCGCAAAACCACCGCAGATGGGGATGATTTGCGTCTTTTGTGTTCTGTTTGGAGCAGCAATAATGCCGAATACAGCCATATCAAAGATATTGGTAGTTGACCTTCACATACGACCATAGGACGTTGAAAATAAGGACTCCTGCCCGACCCACCGTCTATTATGGGACTGTTTTGAGGAGGTCGTCTTGCGCGTTCCTGTTGTCAGTAATCACACTGTTGCGATCCCGAACAACCGGTACCGGTTGTCATCAATCACGACCAGTGCAGCACAGCAATTACATTCGACAAGGGAGAATCACAGTAAGAAAACCGAACGTCAGCACTCGGCAACTAATCGCACAATTGGCACTGAGCAGACTGCATCACCAATACATTCATTCAAGTATATCGCAAGTAGGAACACTGACCTTATAGCATTGTGTTCCACCTCGTCCATCAACTTTGTTATTGGAATCTCAACCTAGCTCTCAAGTGTTGATGCTGGGGTATGCCTCCCCTAGCACCGTTCTCTCTGGATCTGCCACTAGTGCTCCCAAATTAGTTAGCTGACCATCTATATTTCAGAGTCTACTGCGAACTCTATTCCATTCCTGGTTCAATTGCATCGCTACTATGTTACGCTAACATCTGAGTACAAGAATCATCACGCGCGCTTCCGCGAGAGCCTTACACATAGCCTCACGTGTTTAACACTCATCCAAATCGGCTCTACTATTCTAGGGCATATGAAGGCACTCTGACCTCGCCACAGCCAAAGTCCCATACAAAGTGCAGTGAAGCACCATACTTCTAGGTTATACTAAATTAAGGCATTAATGCGCAACGTTATAAAGCAAAGCGCTTGCTGGTTAACATTACTGGATGACTGGAACCTTTCTTGGACGTTAGCGCTTTGCTTGAGTAATTCACGTTTTTTAATTTGGGGGGGGGGGGGCATTTCACGCACGCTCTACAGGTGTGCAATACAGTTAAGAGATTTTAATCCTAAGAAAGTCCGTTCAACGACATGCTGTCTCTCAGACGACAATGGCCGTACTTGGCAGAAAAGCTTTCAATCATACGCCGGTGCATGCTTCTTTGGAAAAATTCAGCTTCATCGGTATGAAAATATAAACAAACTGTCATTGTTCGATAAAAACGCCATCATGTTACTGTTGATTGCCGCTGGTAGTATATTCCGTCCATACTCTTGATGACTAGAATACGGCGTGGTTCACGGGCACGTAGATCTTTGGAGCTCGGCGTTGTGCTTCAGAGATTGTCAGAGGGAGTGAAGGTATCCACCGATCGCCATCTGTTTGCTGCTAGCGGTCCGTTGCAGTGTTTGTTAACGGTCCGCTGCACTGATTGTCCAGCTCATTCGGTTAGCTCAGTTTGCTTCCCTAACCCTTCACTGCTATCCCCTTCTACTATATAGTCTCGATCGATTCTAGCCCATAGCTCTTAGGATCAATCAACATCTCAACCCTTCCACAGAGATTGACACGCTGACTGCGCCGCATCTTAGCAACCTGTTAATTTTCTCAATTTACAACCCATCGATCTCAACAGAACTATGACAGTTCTACTGCAAATTTGCGTTTCATGCTTACCCTCGGTCTCTCAGGCTGACTCACCTTGGTAGTGGCGCCACTATACAGCGTATTGCTGCACGAGGTACAGCTAGATTCTCCATTTTCGTGTCAAGCAAACGACGAGTGAGTGGCCAAGAGCGGAGCGAGCTGCATTTGATGGTGGCTCATGATGGGGGCGAGCGTTTTCCTACCGCTCATGAGGTCGAATTGGAGATATCGATCATGATACTTGACCCTCAGTATAAGTAACCTGAAGATTCCCCGTGAGTGATCTTGACCATACCAAATAACAACATTTTTTTTTCTCCATTGACCTCACTCTCATGTAACTAAATCTTTGCATTACCAGAGGAGCTACTGCTCCTCTCGTCTTCCATAGTCTTAGACTCAGATAGGACGTTAAACCAATCAATCAATCAATCAATCAACAACATTTTTTCAGCATTTTCATTGCAGTCTTCTTGTTGCCACAGCTCGCATCGCGCGAAGTTCGTTCTGTCCTCCAACTAAATCCTTTACCCGCACCATATATCTCATCATTTACCGTGTGCAGACCGGTCAACGTTCTCACTTTGCGATACATGTCCCGTACGAAGAGAACGGTGGCGAAAGAACTCTCATCCACGTAGTTGATGCCGCGATGACAAAATTTTCTTTGGGGGTTAACGTAGATACGATCCTGCGGCGACTGGACGTCCTCTAGATAGAGTCCCGATCGGATCCGTCCACGTTCAGTATCTACACAAGTTCGAAGGCCAGAGAGTAACAGACACTACCCCACGGGGTAACCTTGAGCCGGTGGCGGCACAGGTTCAACCGCCCAGGGCCAGCGCTAATTTCCTCGAGCCAGTCAACGATGTAAGTGTAAAAGTCTGGGCAATGAGTGGGCTTGCTGGTGGATTTAGACGACGAATCGTCGGTGCCAGGAGTGGACTATGGATTGTGTCCGTCGTCTTGTTGCCGTCCACTACCTCGACGAAGCGGCCGTAGCAATCGTCCAATCGAAAAGAGACGCTCCGAACGTTGGCATTGGGTTACGATCCGCTGCTGCTCGTTCTCAGCAGATACGAGCGACACCACAGTTGAGCAACGTACCGGCGGATCAGTAGTTAGTTGTAGCGAATACCCGCTGTTGTATGTTTTTACTATCCTTTCGCTCTCAGATGCGACGCGAGAACCGCGAGCGATGTGCAAAGACTGGAGCTTTTTTTGCACGATCGATGTGGCCGAAGAAACACGGTCATGACAGTAAGACCCACAAATTTTGGCCATACCCATGAGGATCACCAGGTCGACGGGGGCTAACGCAAAACAGACCCTGCCTTGTTTCATTGTCTTCATTCATGTCACGTACAGATCGTTCCTAGAATACCGTTCCTTGCACACTTAGTACAGCACACCCTTCGTACTCCTCACCTCGCCCTCCCACTGCTTGACCACCGTCGTCGCATGCCTGATAGCAACAGCAAGCGCCTTGAACGCACTCTCAGCCCTGTGATGATCATTCTCTCCCCTCAAGCAATCCACATGCAACGTCGTCCCACTCGCCTGCGCAAAGCTCTGAAGGCAGTGAGGGATCATCTCGCAGCTCAAATCGCCAATCTTCTCTCTCCTCAGCCCCAAATCAATGATGCTGTACGGCCTGTTGCTCAGGTCGATCACGGCGCGCGACAGCGCCTCATCAAGGGGCGCGTAGGCGTGTCCGAACCGCGCCAGACCCGTGGAGCCCTGCAGCGCATCCTTGAACGCAGCACCGAGTGCAAGGAACGCGTCTTCGGAGGTGTGGTGGTCGTCGATGTGCAGGTCGCCCTTGCACCTGATGCGGAGGGACCAGCCGGCGTGCTTGGCCAGCGCGTGGATCATGTGGTCGAGGAAGCCGATGCCGGTGTCGACGGAGATTTCCTGGCTGTTGGACTTTTGTGTTGCATGGTCCTTTTCGATGTTCTCACCTTCGCCGTTCAGGTTCTTCTTGTCGAGGGCTGCCCAGAAGTCGGAGTGCTCGTAGGCGTCCAGCGAGCCGCCGTCGAGGTTGATGGAGACTTGGATTTTGGTCTCGTTGGTGTCGCGGTTGAGGGTTGCGGTGCGCGGCATTGTGGCGGTATTGTCGAACTTGGCTCTAGATGTGATGTTGCAGATGTGTTCTACGGGATAGCAAGGTGAAGTTGGTGGTCAATTGCAGTTGTGAGTGCTGTCGAGAAAAGTTGAGGTGCGATCGGAGGCGTACCCCACGTACCCGCGTCACAGGCTAGCCGCGGCCGTAGGGCTGAAAAAAAGTAAGCCACCACTGATTCGCCGACCGAAAACGCGCGCAGGGAAAACTTTTGATATCGCGAAGTCACGCTCTCAGGTACACATATCACCACGAACCACGCAGATCGCTGTTACTGGATCCAGAGATTACTCAAAAATAAAGAAAGAGCAAGGAAACCGAGAAAAATGCCGTCTGCTACAGAAGAGAAGGTTGCGCCCAAGATTATCGACCCTGCGTCTGAGCACGGCGATGAAATCGATGCCTCGGTAGACCGCGACAGGATACGTGTCGTACGTTGGGACTGCCGCGACTCTGTGAGGCTGTAGCGCTAACGTTGCGCAGCTGGCGGGAGCCACCGAGAGCGCTGCTTCATTTCAGTTTGACGGCGAGGACCACACACTCGGCAATGCGCTGAGATATATCATCATGAAGAAGTGAGTTGTTGCTGTCGCCAGCGCGTATAGATTGTGATAGTCTTGAGAATCTGCGCTGACGATCTGTTCAGCCCTGATGTCGAGTTCTGCGGTTACTCTATTCCTCACCCCTCAGAGACAAAGATGAACCTGCGCATCCAGACATACGGTAAGCTCTGCTGTTCTTCGCACTCTGGTCACATGTCTGACATTATTGCAGACAACGTCAGCGTATATCAAGTCTTGGAGAAGGGCCTTGAGGACCTGATGAACATGTGCGATGTAGTCACTGAGAAGTTCACTGTCTCGAGAGAGGAGTTTATCAACCAGATGGAGCAGTAGAGTGTCAGCGCCTCTAAGCGAGGTTGGACAAGGGTCATTGCATTGCAGGCGTTCACGGATAGCATCTACGGATCGGCGCACGAAAAAGGAAATGGTATTGTGACAAAGCTATACACACGCTTTCTTTGTCTTGTTTCGCTCCTAGCCCCAGGCTGTGAACTTCGATCAGTTGCGTCCCTACATGTTATAGTTAGTATTCGTGTGGGACACGGCAGATACTAGGGAAGATGCAGGCTCTCATACCTCCAAGAAACCGTTGATGAAGTTCGCTGGCAACCTCGCCTTGGGGTCCTCCTCAGCTCGGAAGTACTTGAGAACGTGCGACAGTTGCTTCCAGAAGTTGAGTGTTTCCTGGAACTCTTGGTGGCTGTTGAAGAGCAGTACGTCTACTGTCTTTATTTGATTCACATATCGATGCCGCTCGAACTCTTGCCGCATCTTCGTGCGCAGCGTGGAGACCGGCAGGTTGAGCGAGTACATAGTCTGGATCTCGGGGGCCTGTTATCTTCAGTCAGCCTTTGATGTATCTTTGCCGGCTGCCTCTTCTGTGTTTCCGTAGCTCCGCTCTTCCTCTGTGATCTTCCACCTCTTCCCAGTGTTCCGCGTGTCTCCAACACGTGGATCCTCGCCAAATTTCGACCACCTCGGGCGGGGTGAACGTACCGATCGCAGCCAGTCTCGGTAGCTGTGGATGACCCTCTTCTTCGCATCGGACCAGTTGACCGCTGTGACCGCGTTAGCAACCCAGGTGTCCCAATGGCTGTATCAAACATATTTCGTACATGAGCGCGTGCGCTGGGCAAGGTAGGTAGGGTTGATGACCATGTTGGCGGTGTTGCAGAGCTCGAGTGTTCACCGAGCTTGCTATGGAGTGCCGATGCGGCTCGGTGGAGTGGTTGCTTGGCATTTCGCTAGCGCAGTTCTCCCGGGTGGCGCTTTCTGAGCGTTGTGGATGAGCGAACGCCTTACGAGAACACCAGACATTCACATCAGACATTCACACCACACAGATTGGCGCATACATACTGTTGAAACCACCAAACGACACGAAGGACTCTAGATAAATCTGCGCCACCGACATCCGCCACCATGCCGCCAGTCCGCACAGCACGCGCCTCGAAGAAGGCCCCACCGGACGGCTTCGAAGACCTGGAAGACACGCTCCTCGAGTTCCAGAATAAGATGAAAGACGCCGAGAACGCATCGCATGAGGGCAAGAAGAAGTACGAGATGACGTGGCCCATCTTCCAAATCACCCACCAGCGCTCGCGATATATCTACGACCTCTACTACGAGAAGGAAGCCATCAGCAAGCAGCTGTACGACTACTTGCTGAAGAACGGATACGCGGATGCTATGTTGATTGCCAAGTGGAAGAAGCAGGGTTATGAGAAGCTGTGCTGCACGAGGTGCATCCAGACCAAGGAGACGAACTTCAGGTCGACGTGCATCTGTCGCGTGCCCAAGGAGCAGATGAAAGAGAACCAGGATATCCAGTGCGTGAACTGCGGCTGCAGAGGGTGCGCCTCGAGTGACTGAGGGGAGAACACGGATACGGCTGCGCAGACACGGGCGCATTGTGGACCCCTACGACTGCTCGTAACCGAAAAAGGCTTGCCGCCGGCTTGCATTGCGCCCATCCACGATCGATCTGCATTCTATACCCATACAGCATGACGGCAAGCTCTTCGGAGCCTCGACGACCAGAGGTCATCCTGTGGGCTATTGCGACGAAGAGGAAAACAAGCGCGTCACGAGCGAACTTCAGAGGGTGTGTCGGACCAGTCATTAGTTTACATTCAGTCGTTAACATATCCACAGACGCAATACATGAAGTGGAAGAGTCTATCCATGAACCTGCCTCCCAGGGGTATATTGAAACGTGCAAACGCCGCGCTAATCATGCTATCTATCCTGTTCTACAGTCGCAGTCTGTTCGTTCAGTGCGATCTGACCGTTGGCCCCGGATCAGGTCCCAGCTCAAGCCTAACATCCTCCCAGTACTCTTGCGCCCCGCGCGCATCACGGCTGTCCCTCTCCTGCGCAAAGTACTCCGCGCTGATGGACCTCCGCTCCATATACGTCTTTCCAGTACGTGATGATTGCAACGGTGCCGGCTGTACTGCTGGCTGCGGCGGCGCAGGCCAAGCACTCATAACATCCGGATCCAAACTGCTCCTCTTCGTATCGCCCGTCTTCAGCCTGAACGGGCTGCTTCGATCAATAGGGCTATCATCTCCTACATCCGCTCCCCTAGGAACTTGAAGACCAGCACTCGTGATATCCGCCGAGACCTTAGGAAGCTGATCGTTCCAAGGATTGTGATGGACCGTAGAGTTGTTCGAGGGTCGTGCCTGCGAGCGCGGCGATGCAATCCAGCCCGTATGCACGACTGGTGTGCTCATGGCGTTCATGCTGCGCACCTTTCCGCCGCTGGCAGTGGAGTCGAACGAGCTGGTTGGCGAGCAGAAGTCCTTTTCTGGTACTGCTGGTGGAGGCGTGGAACCGAGGTGGCAGATGATGGGAGCTCGTCTGCGACGCTTGCGCAGCCAGAGATATGTGAATATCGCCACCGCGATGAGCAGCACGGCTACGGGGATCATCGCAAGTCCGGCTATCGATTTCGCTGGGAGACTGTGTCTCTCCTGTGAAGGCGCCGCGGGTTTGGTTATTTTCGCTGGCATTGTCGGATTGCTTGTCGATATCGTGTCCGCAGGTACTGTGAATTGCTGCGACGTGGAAATTGTGGCCTGTTGTATCCGTATTGTTGGCAAGGGAGACGGCGATGACGACTTCGGATCTTGCGGCTGTTGGCCACGCACAACATCATCTGTTGCCGTGTGCGGTGCGGATCGTCCTTCGATATGTACCTTACGCTCAATCGAGCGCATCGTGGTGTTCGGGGCTGCACGTCACCTGTTGATGTTCGCGCCACCAACGATTAACGAGATGCCCCTTGCTGAACTCTATGTATAGACGTTGGGTTCCAAAGAACTTCTGGAACAGTGTCGACAAAGATGCGTTTTCGAGCGCAGTTGCAACAAAGATGTGCAGCCTAAATGTTTTAGAAAAGTACAAAGCGTGTGTTGCTGCGTTGCTACTAGGGCGCCCTTCGATGATAAACTTCTCATTGTGCCGGAACAAACAAATCCAGGTCCACCACCCTGCTTTGCCCTGCCCTCCCCATGCCCCCTCCTTCTCGAGTCCGTCGCTGCTCTGTCAGGCTGCCACACCCCACGTAGAATCATGTTAGACTAAAACGGACTTCCGCTCGGCCCCATGTCCAGCATGAAACGACGAGACTTCGCTTTGTGGTGTGCTCGTGGCTCACTTGTGGCGGGCGGAGCTTTGAGAGTGAACAATGACGAGCGTGGCGGCGTTTCAGGTACGAAGAAAGTAAGGTGGATGATGGGAAAGAGGGTGTGATTTACGCGTGACCACGAGATTTGTTTGCTTATTCTGCGATGTGATGCTGGTGGATTATGCGTGCAACAAATTCCCACGCATAATGGTGTAGTTGGGCTTCACATCGTCCCTACTCGGAGCCTTCACTCAAGTCCTCGAGTTGAGTGATGGGTATGAGGGATGCTACAAGCAAGGCGAGCAGCGGAAAAGTATTGCACTATGAGGTGTTTGGCATGTCCGCGGGTGTGAACTCCGAACATGCTGCACATGGCTAGCGGATTGCTGTTTTGGGTGAAGGAGGCTATTCTCAGGTCAGCAAGTCGAGGCTCAACTCCAAGAGCTTTGCACGAGAGTCCGCTTGCAGTGTTTTCGAGGTTTCGAAAACGCAGGCTATGCGTCTTTGTAGGTTTGCTTGCAGGTTACTCATGGCTGTTTGGCAGGTATGTTAGCCCTGTAACTAGTAAGGCTGAACGCTGAGCTGAAGTACACCAATGGACAGCCAGCGACCTTTGACATGTCTGTACTCAGCATTGGCGCAAGAATGTGTTGGTTGACATCTGGGACTGCTTCGAGATGACAGCATAGTGACTGGATCACCACATTCGGCAATGTCGCACTCGGTCCAGTTCCGGCGGCTATGATGAGACAGCCGGCAGCGGTCAGAGTCTCAAACACTGAGAGGCCTGACTGAGGTTGAACCTTTCACTTTCTTCGCCTTCGCGCATCCAGTGTTGAACATCAATACCTCAAGCAACCATGGACACCTACCTCGCTGAGCAGAAAACACTCCTGCCTCTCGCGGAACCGGCTCTTACGCCACATTACAACGCAAGACCTTCGTGAATTACCATCACAACTTAATCGAACCCTGCACCCTTACCTTGGTCCTCTTTCTCGCAGCCTCGCAGTGTCTTATCCTCTACGGCATCCACAGCCTCCCCTACACCACTCCCTCCAGCGCACTCTGCATCTTCCTCACCGACCTCGCTGCCGGTCTGCGCCTCTCGATCCCCGCCAGCCTGCCGACCGCAACACTACTCTTCATTGCATCTCCATATATCGCGCGACCAGAGCAGTTGGTTGTGACTTGGTACCTGATTCTGCTTTGCTACCTTGTTGGCTCGACGTCGGGTGCGCTGTTGCTGCTGTGGGGCTAGGGATGGGGCTACGGCAGGAAAGGAATAGCGAGGTGTTATCGTGGAGCCCGATAGCGGACGTGGAGTCATTGTGGTGTTTGGAGTCATTGTAGGGCGTGAGCTGTCAATTGGAAGACTGTGTATAGATAATAGTCGTCCAGGTATGTTGATTCTCTAGAGAGGCGATTGAGTCACATTGAAGAGCTGCGAAGAGCTGTTCAAGCTATCGAGGTTCTGCGTCATTTGCGATTGCGCGCTTTTTCTTTTGACCGCAGCCATTGAGCTCACAACCACGCAGTTATCTCAAGTAGCAGATCTCACTGCCTGCTTCGTCCATCATGTCTCTCGCACGCCCCAATCCCCGCTTTCTCGCCCGTACAAATCGCATCTTCGCGTCGCAAACACGAAGCTATGCAGCACCTGGCGACGGTGCAATTCCCGCCGCAAAGAAGAAGTACATACCAACATCTGGCACCTATCCGCTGGGGTTCAAGGCTGGAAGCGCCCATGTTGGCGTGAAAGCTTCAAACACCCGACTCGACGACCTTGCTCTCATTGCATCCGATTCACCATGCACCGGTGCAGCAGTATTCACAACAAACAAATTTCAGGCTGCACCCGTCACAGTGAGCCGAAATTTGCTGAAGAGTAGGAAGGGTGAGGGCATCAGGTCCGTCATCATCAACAGCGGCTGCGCCAATGCCGTTACTGGGAAAGGCGGCATTGAGGACGCGACATTGATGGGCAAGGAGACCGACAAGGCCTTCACCCAGGACAGCAACGGCGAGGACGATGGCCAAAGCCGAAGTCTCGTTATGAGCACTGGTGTCATCGGCCAGCGACTACCTATTCAGAAGATCGTTTCTAAGATCCCCACCGCATACTACAACCTCGGAGACACACATGAGCACTGGCTGGGCACCGCCAAAGCTATCTGCACGACCGACACATTCCCCAAACTGCTCTCGAAGTCCTTTACACTACCCAGTAGTCATGAGGAGTACCACATCGCCGGCATGACCAAGGGAGCAGGAATGATCCACCCCAACATGGCGACCCTTCTAGGCGTAATCTGCACCGACGCACCCGTCGCCGCCGGCCCTCTGCAAACAGCACTTAGCTCCGCCATCACCAAGTCCTTCAACAGCATCTCGATCGACGGCGACACATCGACCAACGACACCGTCGCCATCCTCGCCAACGGCGCTGCTGGCGGGAGGCCCATCTCCAGCACCTCTTCTCCTGACTTCGACGCCTTCCAAAAGACACTCACCGACTTCGCCATTGACCTCGCTAAGCTCGTTGTTCGCGACGGCGAGGGCGCGACAAAGTTTGTCACCATCCGCGTCACTAACGCTGCGACCTACGAAGACGCACACCGCGTCGCCTCAACCATCGCGCGTTCCCCTCTCGTCAAGACAGCTCTGTACGGAAAGGACGCGAATTGGGGCCGTATCCTGTGCGCCACTGGCTACGCCGAGAATGTCGACGGCGTCATTCCTGAGGAAACGAGTGTGAGCTTCATTCCCTCGGATGGGAGCGAGGAGCTGAAACTCCTGGTGAGCGGTGAGCCGGAGCAGGTTGATGAGGAGCGCGCGGCGAAGATTCTGGAGGCGGAGGATTTGGAGATCAAGGTCCAGTTGAGCGAAGGGAAGTACAGGGAGGAGGCAGTTTTTTGGACGTGCGATTTTTCGCATGAGTATGTTACTATCAATGGAGATTACAGGACATGAGCATGTGAGTTTTCTTGTATCCGGCCTCTCCAGAATCGCTTAAGCTCTTCGAGTTACCTTCTATAATCTGGTCGTTCCTTCTGTGTCTTCCTCGGACGCGCCCGCAATTGACACGCGCGACAGCCGGGAATGTTTTGTGTCTGCTTCGAACCGCATAGAACCACCTGCAACCTGCCTTCTTTCACACCAGCACGTTATCAGACATCCATCTCACGGCCCCAATTTTGTATCATTCCGATATTGATGGCCTCCAGGTTCGCTAACCGTCCAATCACGCGTGACGGGACGTCGAAAGTTCGCTATGCTCAGCCTCATCTGAAGTCTAGCCATGTACTTCGCCTCGCTTGTGGCTGATCTACTGGGCGCAGTCAAACATCATAAAGCGTCGCCTATGTCGCGTCATCGTGTGCATTCGATGTTGCATCCTCTCGAAATCTACCAAAACCGCCTTCTACTCAACTTGACTCCGACTCGCGCGAGCCACGAGCGCTCAACATGGCCAATCTCACCTTTCCGTACCTGCGCGACGACTGGAGCCTCGACGTTGTGAATATCCTTGCCTTCTTGGGCGAACACAACATCCTAGCATGCAGTCAACAAATATGCATGTCTCCACTATGTTTCCTTCCCCGCCTGATACCGGCACCACAGGGACTCCTTGCTCAGCGACCGAAGAAGCTCGAGTCTGAAGATGACGTACGCGTGATGGGTATACATTCGGGTAACGAACGAGATTCGTTGTCTTATTATGCTCGAATGATTCACAGCGACGGATCCGAGTTGCCGAGCTTTACGACACGCATAATCGATATCGGTTTTGACGACAATATAAGCAAGAAAGGATTAAAGCGCCCACCCCCAATTCGGCCGAGACTGTTTTCGCCTATGAACTTGATCGCCATATTCAGTTGTGCGATATCTTTCGGTCTTGCCGCGTGGGCAGTCGTACTTGGAGACGCTGTTGCGCTTACTGGTATCTTGGTCATGAGCTTCACAACGCCGCTGCTCTGTGTGGGAATGCGGTGGACAACAAGTCTGCCTAGATTTCATTACCACGATAGCGCGCCACCTAGTACGGTTGTCATAAGATATCCAAATGGAAGCTTCACGATCGTCCGATGCAATGAAAGTATCGCGCGCATGCTGTATTTCCATCCGGAGTATATCGACTACACCGTAAGTTCTTTCACGGGACGCGGTCTGAGCGGTACTGTAGGTGGGCTCACCCTCGTGGGGTCAATCGTTTTATTCGGCAACGCAGTCTGGACAATCAAAGCTGCGCTTGCTGTTACATATACAGTCTTGAATCTGTTGTATTGGATCGCTGCGATTCTGCCGACTCGCTTATCATGGCACGTCGATTTCGACATTACTCCACCTGAGATCATCCCCAATCCGACCTTTACGAGGAGTCTTTGGACGGCTATCTGGGTCACTAAAACTTCAGATTGGGTGAAAGACGGTGTACCGAGGACTGCAGTATGGAATGAATGGCTCAAGCAAGCGCAAATGGCGGCTCGGACGTGCGCGAAACATGACGAATGGGATGCACAAGGAGTTCTCATAGACTTGTTAACGAAAGAGACCTGATTGAGCGCTTTAATGGAGCCCTCATCAATGGCCCTGTAGTGAAAAGACGTAGCACAGTTAGCGGGCACGTGATGCATCACGTCCACATTGGTCTTGGAGCACCGCTGACTTTGAATGAATCGTTACTGGTAAGCCATGCTTTTGGAGCTCTACCTGGGATCAACACGGCTGTTGTCACTAGGACTCATCGCACTTGGTATGAGAGCGACTATGTTAGCCAACACAGTTAGTATGTCACGTGCCCTATCATGTAAGCTTTGAGAGTCTATACAGTCTCTTGTCCCTCTTTGTCTAGGAATACAACTAGTTCTTCCTTTTTGTTATTCGCCCACAGAATATTCATCAACTTCGGTGAGGGGGAAGAAAGAGGTTTCGAGACGAAATCTTATGTAGCTGTGCTCGTGGTCCAGCCGAACGGGGCACACGTGGTCTGTTGTCGGGATCCCATGAATGATGAAATCGTCGAGAAGAACGTTCTGAAAGATCAAGAGAAGACTGCGCGGTTTGACTACAGATGCAGTGAACATGGAAGACTATGAAATGAAGGTGTCATCCTCTAAAGGCGATTACGCGCGGGGACTCGCAAGGAAACTTCGGAAAGTCTTCCTTTTGAACGTGAGAATCATGACGCTTGGGTATGAAATGGTATCAAGAGGCTTTCGAGCACACGAACAGATGTTGAGATGGAGGTCGAGGTGTTGAGGTGTCTTCGGCGCACTTCTTACCGAGCGACAAGCCCCACGCGAGCGCTACGCGCAGGGCCGAATGACGCCAGCGGGGTATCTCTTCGTCGCGAGAGCACACAATTATCCCGCCATCTACAGTTGAGACAAACATCCCAGCCAACATGGTACTGCGCTTTGCTGTTTATGACCAACATCCCGCGCGATGGAACAATTCCTGCAGCGAGTACATAACGCCATCGAGCCGACCTGACGGCCGAGAGTTGTCACCATGCGGAGCATAAGAAGGAGCCTCCCGCGCTCTCTGCTGGGACTCCAAGTACCTTGTTATACCCCATTTACACCTCTCAAGGCATATACATCCTTCAGAATGTCTTCCGGAAAGACCGTCACTCTCAACACTGGCTACAAGATCCCGTACGCTCTCCCGTCACACAAGACGTTGTGTAGGAACTCCGCTAATGCGTTCGCAATAGTCAATTGGGATACGGCACATGGCAAGCCGCTCCTGGTGAGGTTGGCAATGGTGTCTACGAGGCGCTGAAGATTGGTTACCGACACCTTGTAAGTGACCTTGACGATCGTTGGACCCTGAAAGCCGTTGCACTGCAGTTGGACCCTGGAATATCCTTCCTTCACTGGAATGCTGCTACTTGAATAACTCTTGCTGACTGATTTCTCTTCAGGATCTCGCCAAGATGTGAGTTTCTACACCCCACGTTCTTCCCCGTCTCTTCGCAAGAGTTTCCCCGTCCCTTCACAAGAGTTTTCCCGCCACTGCCGCCAGCGTGGCTATTACGGCAATTGTATACCTGTGGGTCAAAGTTTAGTGGAGGTCGAAGCTGGGATGCCCCTCGGTGGAGACCTTCAAGGAGCTATGGCCACTCTTTCACAATCCACCGCTAAGAAATTTGACTAACATATTTCCCACCAATCAGTTACGAGAACCAGAAGGAAGTCGCCGAAGGCATCAAGCGTGCTTTCAAGGATATTCCTGGCCTCAAGCGTGAGGACATCTTCATCACATCTAAGCTCTGGAACACTCAGCACAACCCTGAGCACGTCGAGGCTGCTCTCGATGACACTCTTGCCGAGCTCGAGCTTGACTACCTTGATCTCTACCTTATTCACTGGCCCGTCAACTTCGGCCCAGGAAAGGACCCTCACTCTGACCTCTTCCCTGCCACCTCCGACGCGAACGAGGTCAACATCGACAACTCGGTACCCAATAGCGAGACATGGAAGGCCGTCAACAAGCTCCCCAAGAGCAAGGTCCGCTCTGTCGGTGTCTCCAACTTCACATACAAGAATCTCAAGGCCCTTATCGAGAAGACCGACCTCGTCCCTGCCGTCAACCAGATTGAGCGTCACCCCATCCTTCCCAGCAAGGAGCTCATTGCCTATGCCAAAGAAAAGAACATCCACATTACCGCCTACTCCGCCTTCGGCAACAACTTCTTCAACATTCCTCTCCTCATCACTCGCAGCGAGGTCAAGGCTATTGCCGAGAAGAAAAACGCCACACCCGCTCAGGTCATCCTTGCCTGGAGCCAGGTCGGTGGACACTCCGTCATTCCCAAGTCTGTCACTCCTTCCAGGATTGCAGAGAACTTCAAGGAGATTGAGCTGAGTGAGGAGGATGTTGCTGCTATCCAGAAGTTCTCAGACGAGCACCAGGGCCGCAGGAGGTACAACGTGCCTTACACCGCTAATAAGCCTCGCTGGAGCATCAACATCTTCGATGAACCTGAAGAGCAGGAAGCGCCTAACAAGGTCGTTCTCTAGATATAAAACGTCAATAAGGCCGTGAATCAATAATGCGTGCCTTCTTAGTTGCCTTCGTGTGACCTGCCATCGAAAACCCCAAGAATGCTACAATTTGTAGGGACTTAGTGACATGAACACGAGAAAGTATCCATGCAATGCCGCTCTTGCTGACATTACATCCCCTTCACGATTTGTTCACAAGGATCGGGAATAGATCGTCGAGCTCTGATTATTGGGGTTGCTGCCTTGCGATATAGTCTCGTTCTGCTTTGAACATTGCAGGGTCGTGGCTGCAAGACCTCAGTATCAACAACTTTATTCCGCTTCTTTCAAACAAAAACTGCAACGGCTCAACCCAAACGAGAGGTGGCGACTCGACTCTGTGTTTCTGCTCCCTCGGAACCCCTTCTAGCCCTGTGAAGCTCACAACACTTACGCGCCTTCTTCAAAATACCGGAATTACTGCGCGTCAAGCACCTGTTATCACAGGTCATTTCGCAAGCACAAGACGTTCTAGCACGCAGGAACGAGGTATGCAAAAGATGTAGCGCATTGGAAAAAGATATGATTCAGTCTTTCAAGAACCTAAGGAAGTCAGAGTTTACCGACGGAAGTATCTTACGAAGCTCTCTACACCCCGATTGCAGACTGTGCGTTCAACTACTCCACTTCTTCCAACTTTCGGGGCAAAATGCAGTTTCGGCGGACAATCACCGAGAATGGGAGGAAAGGAGAATTAGGCGCAAAAACTTCACCGTCCACATGCTGGACTTTCAGGTGTTGGTGAAACTCCTCGTAGTCAATAGCCTTCTATCGAACTTAGGGATCGAACCTTGATAGGGCTGGTGAAAGGGACTGCTCGTATCACATAATCAATCTGGAATACTCGCGGTTGAACCTACCAAGAAATGCTGTTGTCGACTGGTCGACTTGTGTTGACGGACAAATGGATGTACTACCAAAGAACTTCCATACAAAATGCCTCCACAGCACGTTGGCGAGCTTCTGGAGACGGCTCAACGACTGATACACGATGGTTCAGACGCTTGCGATGGCTCAAATAGCCATTTGATTCCACCGGAGCGAACTTTGCGCACTTTCTAGCTCTTATAAAATGTTAATGGAGAGATAATAAGAGGATTAGCAATGTATCAGAAGGTGTTGACGTGGTGTTTAAAGTTTCACACAATGCACAGATTCCTGGTGATTCCAGCACTCTGATATTATGTCGATGCTTTCTACACAACTTTCTTCCTCCGCTTCACTCTGATCCTCCATACCCAAAAGAACCCTATTAAGACCTCAATTGGAACTAATATCGCTCCAGCAACCCAAAGCTTATTCTTCACCAGAGAAGACCCAGGCGGCGGTGCCACATCCTTCGCTGAGAGCGAGTCAAGATAGACGAACGCGTAGTCGGAACTTCTGTTCAGCAGTGGCGGAAGATCGTCAAACAGGTAACAGTTCTCGTATCCTAAATGTAGGCTAGCATCGAACAAGGCAGCGTTGCACGTGAAGTTCGCATCAGTGCATCTTTGACTGCAGTCTTGCAATGTTGTTTCGTGGAAGGTCTACAGAGGACGTGTAGCGGTACTGTTGAGGTCGCGGTAATCCTCACATGATATTTTGAACGCTCTTCCGTCGCTAGCAGGGGTAATGGTGTTTTTTTTTCGCACTTGAGATCTGACAATGTGACCGCGGTGGCTTCTGCCGAGTGGCCCATGGTACGTGTGTACCAAATATGGCTTTTCTGTTGTTTTGGTCTTCAGCTTCCAGTTGAATCTGTTGTAGGGCTCTTCTCTGAGCTTTACAGAATGTTCGATGCTTACATTTACAGGTGGAACTCATCAGTGATCTTCTCGCCAAGCGCATACCGGTATCACCAGCTTACAGTGACCGAAGGGTTTTTCAATGGAATATCTTTCAACAGTCCTGAGGGGTCATGATGCGCGACTCGGATGAGAGTGAGATTGCACAGTTCCCAGACAACTTCCATATTGTCCAACAGGACCTCTTGAACTACGAGCGACTCTCCGCCAACAAATGCAAACGGAAGTACGCGCAGCCAAGGTTTCGGCTGCTACGCTGGGCTGTTTCGGTCCGACGATGAACTACACTCCTCCCAGTATGACAAGGTCGAATACTGATTGAGCAAACGTATGCCGCAAAGATGTAAGCTGGAGGATCGTTTCTGGATCACGGCCTTCACCACTGTTTCCAACTTCAGTAAGCTTGTGGGATTTGTTGCCACCTGGCTGTTGTTGAAGAAATGTACCCACAAACCGGTCGATGGGGACGAGTGTGAAAGAGCTAAGCATGCATTATTGATCACCACTGGCGACGCCATCGCTTCGTTCCTGAGAACACCAGATGCAAAAAGTGTTGGCATGAGTGTCGTCGAAAAGCGTGACTTCGAGGATGGCATATAGGCTCTGCGTTGGGTAAATGTCAGTTCGATGATGTGGCGTGAACAGTACTCTTGCGCATGGTTTCGAGCCATTGGCTTATAGTGGTGGTTGACAGATACTCTCCTGTAAGTCTGATTCAGCTATAGGAAGTTTCACGAGTCTGACGGTGGCGTATCCACTTGCAGGACGCCTACACGCTTGATTATCAATGTTAGCCCATTGATGTTTAAGATGCTCTGATGTTGTTGGTGTTGCATCATTTAGTCCCTCCTGTCCTGATGGTCAGACCGGCCCGGCAGTTTTACCGAGGACGCTAGTAGGCGCTCGGGCCTCGATGAAATTCTCGCGCCTGCCAAAAAGTTATGAGCTTTGCAGGACGGCAAGTGCAACCACCAGGTCCACCAAATTTTCGACGCAATGGCTCTCGTGCAGACCAACCCCGACGCCTACACTATCAAGCCAGAGGCCTCTGCGCCTGCCATCGACACCAGCGACTGGCCGCTGCTGCTCAAGAACTACAGCGACTGTATGCAGGGAGCTCGAGATACAGCTTCAGAATATTCAAACTGACAAAATTGCAGTGCTCGTTCGCACGTCACATTACACCCCCATTCCTCAGGGATGCGCGCCTCTTGCGCGTGACCTCAAGTCGTACATTTCCTCCGGTGTCATCAACCTCGACAAGCCCTCGAACCCTTCATCCCACGAAGTTGTATCATGGATCAAGCGTATGCTCCGGTACGCAATGCGATCAATGTAGAATGTCAGACAGGTGGCTAATAGACTCGCAGCGTTGAGAAGACTGGTCACTCCGGAACCCTCGATCCCAAGGTCACTGGATGCTTGATTGTGTGCATTGACCGCGCCACTCGTCTTGTCAAGTCCCAGCAGGGTGCTGGTAAGGAGTACGTCTGCGTTATCCGCCTGCACGACAAGCTCCCCGGAGGCGAGGCCCAGTTCGCGCGCGCCCTCGAGACCCTCACTGGTGCTCTCTTCCAGCGCCCCCCGCTTATCTCCGCCGTCAAGCGCCAGCTCCGTATCCGAACCATCCACGAGAGCAAGCTCTACGAATTCGACAATGAGAGGCAGCTTGGTGTTTTCTGGGTCAGCTGCGAGGCCGGTACCTACATCCGTACTCTCTGCGTTCATTTGGGTCTTTTGCTCGGTGTTGGCGCCCACATGCAGGAGCTGCGCCGTGTGAGGTCTGGTGCTATGGACGAGACCAAGGACCTGGTCACTCTTCACGACGTTCTCGACGCCCAGTGGCTGCACGACAACAACCGCGACGAGTCCTACCTTCGCCACGTCATCTCTCCCCTTGAGTCTCTTCTTACCAGTTACAAGCGCATTGTTGTCAAGGACAGCTCTGTCAACGCCATTTGCTACGGTGCTAAGCTCATGCTGCCCGGTCTTCTCCGCTTCGAGAAGGGCATTGAGATTCACGAGGAGGTTGTCCTCATGACCACTAAGGGTGAGGCCATCGCCCTTGCCTACGCACAGATGTCCGCTGTCGAGATGACATCTTGCGACCACGGCGTTGTCGCCAAGATCAAGCGTGTTATCATGGAGCGTGACCTGTACCCCAGGCGATGGGGCATGGGCCCGGTTGCCACTGAGAAGAAGAAGATGAAGGAGGCCGGCACACTCGACGTAAGTTGCAAAGTCTCTCTAGTTCCGCGTGCAAAGCTAACAGGACCAGAAATTCGGCCGCCCCAACGAGAAGACCCCCGCCAAGTGGAACACCGAGTACAAGGACTTTAACAGGACCGATGTCGAGTCCGCACCTCTCGCCGAGACCACTTCAACCGCCGAGGTTCTTGCTGCCCCCGCCGTTGCTCCCACTGGTGAGGAGCCTGAGGCCAGCGCTGCCTCTGAGAAGACCAAGAAGCGCAAGCACGACGAGGACGAGACCGCTGAGGAGAAGGCCGAGCGCAAGCGCAAGAAGAAGGAGGAGAAGGCCGCAAAGAAGGCCAAGAAGGAGAAGAGGAAGAGCAAGGCGGCCGAGAGCGACAGCGACTCTGACTGAGCAGCTGCAGCTGTGTTGTGAAATAACGATTATCTCGGCCAGCCAACAGCACCATGTTGTTGTTCTATCTACCAGCGATGTACACAACAAACGTGTGCATGTTGCGCATCTCACTCTGTTCTGGATACCTGCTCATGTGTAGCATATGGAAAACCGCGTACGGGAGTCGGCGTTACTGGATTGGCATGAAGGAGTTGGGCGCGTCAAAACTTTTGCATCAGGGCGGGCGACTAGGTGTATGAACATGACTACTGCATTGACAGGCATGTCGATTCAATTCGAGGTTCTAGCTGTAAATGTCGAAGTAGAAGCTCTAAGAAACATTCACAAACTTCAAGTTCACTCTGTCGCATCACTTCACGTACAGCTGATATGGAAGGTTCTGGCGAGTTCTCTGACGTCTTTGTTGGCTCGTGCGCACCGCCGCATTGTGGAGATCGCGAGACATTTCCATGCACTCGATCATAAAAGCAAGCCTCACTCGGGCACCACTCGTCCAGAACCGACTTACTTTCACGCGCACACGAGATACCCTTTCCTTTTGCGTAATATTCTGCCACAATGGTCAAAGAGACCAAGCTCTACGATTCATTAGGTACGTTTGACCCTTGCCTACCCCTCCTCGGCCCTGCTTGACTGCAGGGCTCACAAATAGCTGCATACACATACTAACATCTTTTACAGGCGTATCGCCTACAGCAACACAGGAGGAGATCAAGAAAGCATACCGCAAGGCGGCGCTGAAATGGCACCCCGACAAAAACAAGGATAACCCACAGGCGGCCGAGAAGTTCAAAGGTATGGCTGAGCTCCCCCTCCTATTACTTAGGCTTAGTACTGACGTAATACCTAAGAATGCTCGCAAGCATACGAGATCCTCTCCGACCCCGAAAAACGCCAGACATATGACCAATACGGCCTCGAATTCATACTGCGTGGCGGCCAGCCTGCGCCAGAGGGTGCTGACCCTGGAGGCAACCCATTCGCAGGCGGTGGTGGCTTCCCTTTCGCAGGCGCAGGAGGAGGCATGCCCGGCGGCGGCGCACGAACATTCCACTTCTCCACCGGCGGCGGCGCCAACGGCGGCGGCGGTGCCAATGGCTTCAACTTCTCGAACCCCGAAAGCATCTTCTCTGAATTCCTGCGCGGCGGCGGAGGCAGCATGGGCGGCGACGACGACGACTTCGGCGGTTTTGGCGGCTTCGGTATGGGCGGCATGCCCGGCGGTATGGGAGGCTCGCGCGGCGGCCGAGGGCCCGGTGGGCGCTTCTCGGGAGGCAGGAGAGCGCCTGAGCCTGAGGTTACGGTCGTCGAGAAGCCGCTGGCGGTTACTCTCGAGGAGCTGTTCAATGGCACAACGAAGAAGCTCAAGATCAAGCGGAAAACATACGACCAAGCGACCGGGAAGCAGAGCACGCAGGACCGGATTCTCGAGGTGCCAATCAAGAAGGGCTTGAAAGCCGGCAGCAAGATCAAATTCTCAGACGTCGGCGATCAGGTTGAAGGCGGAACACAGGATCTGCACTTCGTCGTCTCAGAGGTAAGCCCGCTCCCACATCCCCCTCTTCACTTTCAACACGATACTAACTGGATGTCAGAAACCACACCCCCTCTTCACCCGCGAAGGCGACGATATCAAGCGCACCATCGAACTCGACCTCAAAGAAGCGCTGACCGGCTGGCGCCGCACCGTGCAAACCATCGACGGCAAACAGCTCAGCGTCGGCAGCGGCGGGCCCACGGGACCAACGTGGATAGAACGATACCCCAACTTGGGTATGCCAAAGAGCAAGAAGCCGGCTGAGCGTGGGGACTTCATTATTGGAGTCAAGATTAAGTTCCCGGCGAGTTTGACGGCGCAGCAGAAGGAGCAGCTGAAGACGATTTTGTAGATGGTCGTCAATAGGGACGGTTTTGCTGATAGATGCTCGATCTGGATGAGCGAATGGCGTTGGCGGTGTTCTGATATGGCTGAACTTCTGTTAGCCCGGACTTTCTTTCGTATGTTTATATTGGCAGCCAGCAGTTTGGAGCGAACAGCAGAGGCATGCGATGTCTGTAGATGATAAGATGATTAACGAAATGGATTCATACTCAAAGACTTTATATTCGACGTATCTGACATGATGATCTGAACAAGAATGGAGCAATTGAGAAGATCAGAAAGTGATGCCTTTGGCTACGTCTATAGAAACGTTACCTGCGCAACAATCCTTGACATCGTGACTCCTTGTGGAACTCATCGCTGCTTCCGTCGACTGCTGGTAATGGCAAGGTTATGATCGAGTAATGGGCTACTTGTTCATTAAGAGAATGGGAGAGACGAAAGCTTTTGCCGAGGATGTAATGTAACGTCCGTCCAAGCGTGCCGGGACGCACGGTATGGGACAGCTTAGCAATTCGGAGCTTCGCTATCCTTTGTACGCAGATGTACAGGCTTAGCATTAATAAAGTAATATTCTGCAGCCATTCCCTCCCCGAGACACCTGTCTCTGATGGAGATCATCGCGATGTTGATCATGCTGTAGACCGTTTCGTCAATGCCGTCAAACGACCCTTCGTTGTTACCCCCCTGTCCATTCGCGACCTGAGGGACCTCTATAACAGTCGGAGGGTTTAATAGAAAGTGCGATTGAGGAAGATTGTGTCTCGCGGCTCATAAGGCTGCTTTGACCTCAGAAATGTGCCGTCCGGGAGTTTCGCCGGTCGAGAGCAAAGATCGCACAAGCCTACCCAGCCTGTCGGAATGCGCTAGCACTTATTGGTACGCATGTAGTCTGCAGTAGCGTGCTCAGATGCTGCAGCATGCTATAGTAAAGAATTTGGCGCTATACCTACAACAGATCGACGCCCAAGAATAGGTGTGGCGCACGCTAACGGCTTCCCAAAAGCATTCGCAACCATGTGCCCAACGTGTGGTAGTTATTCACGCGCGCAACATATCTGTTTCCCCCGCCTCTGCTGCGAATCCTTCCGTGCGAAGCATATCACGAGAAACAGCGAGGACTCAGAACTCGAACTCCACAGAGGCATGCTTTGGCGACAGCTACTCCTAGAATCTTGTTAAGCTTCTATGCTGCAATGTGCAACTTTGTGCTTGTGTGCATCACCTACCCGCGTCTCTAAAACAGGAGTACAGGAGAACTAAGGTAAAGTAGTGAGGGACCAGCCTTTTCTTATACTTTGCTACGAATGGATACGAGCGTCTGCAAGGACAACACTGCAAAGCCATACTCTGCCAGACCCAACGCCCATACCAACACTGCTCCCGCACACCGTCGAGTATGACGGTCGAAACTCCGACGGTATCCACAGCATATTACTGCCATCAAGCCTGATCCATAGGTTGTCTGGGCTAAGACTAGTGCCTACATACACAGGACGCTCAGGCTCCGCGATAACCGCCTCGCTAGGAGTCCCTGAGCTGTGTATTGCAATAGTACCTATCTCGGTATGGAGAAAAGAGTTTGTGGAATCGAAGGCTAGGTTGTAAACAGCCGTGCCAATGTTGGGCATCTGCAGGCATGCGCCGCTGCTCGCATCCCACACCTTGACGGTGTTGTCCCATGACGCCGAAGCCAGCTTCATCGAGTCGTGCGAGAAGGCTACAGAGGTGACATCGTCACTATG